GAGAGGGGAACGAAAATATATGTATATATACAATTTTCTCTCGCTTTATACAAACACAAACGCACTTTATACACTTGCATTTGTATAAAAAACGAGAGAGGCGAGGGAGAGAACGAGAGTGGCGAGTGAGATTCACCAGGAGAGAGGTGAAATAGCAACAGTTTGCTATGAGGTATAATTAAATCAAACTATATTTATAGCATTTAATTTGAATTAATAATTTGCCATTATATACAATTTTCCCTATCAAATATGAGCGGATTAAATTATTACCATTTATATTGACCCATTTTCAACCCGCCCATTTGCCACCACTAATCACTGATTGAGCTGAACCCAGTTGTAAAGTTCCCGTACCTCACTATCTCAGTCTCCAACAGTGCCGTCCACCAAAGGTTAGTCTCAGCTGCCGTCGCCGGTTCTTTTTCTTCTTGCTTTCTATGTTAAGAATTTTTCAAATTGTTTCCTTTACTTGCTACTTTCCGATCATGCAATGTTGTAGTATACTGTAACATAAATCTAAGTTTCTTCCATTTTTGCCGCTGTTCCGCACACTTTAGAAGCTTAAAAGCAAAAGTGAAGTCCCAATTTATCTTTTGGCACATAAACCCTGCTGATTTTACCCTAGTCATTGAAAGTTTTCCTAACCCCAGGTAAATATGGGGCAAAAATTGGATCCTTTAATTTCCCTCGTAATGTTCTTGATTATTCGGTGGTTCCTTTTTCTTATCTAAATTTACTCTTATATAACTGTAATTGCCTATCTGAAATGCCTATGCTTTTTGACTCTGGAGGCTGATTGAAATATGGGGCATTTGATAAATTCGAATTTGGGTTGGTTTTCACATGTTGCCCAAAGCTCAGTGAGAAGGATGGATATGTGTGTTATTCATTACGAATTTCAGTTTTATCTACTTAACATTGTAAATATAATTTGACTGGTTCGAAAAAAAATTTCCACCCTCTTTTCTTAAGTTACCAACTCATGCTGGGCATTGAAACTTCCCTGCAGTTGGCTTATACAAGCGATTTGATGATTTGAAAAATTCTTTCTTTGTCAGTGGGAAACTCTCTATTTCACCATTCTACCTCCAATGGTTGGTTTAGCCGAGTTAGAAGAGTTTCATATTGGTGTAAATACTCTTATTAGAGATGTGGGGTGGCGTGGGGGTAATATCTAATTAATGATGATGTTGGAACAGCCTGATTGTTGTATTCTTGTATGAGCTGATAAAGTCTATCTCACAGGAGTGAACTTGTGTAGTCTTCTATGTTTGCCTGTGATGTTTCAAGCCAATCTCTGCGACTTATATGAGGGAAAGATGACTGATACTGCTAGTTAAGACACCGCGTCCAAATCCTTGTACCATTCTGTCTCTTGCCGTTCTATACCCAGTACCTTTGGCACCTTAACAGTGTGTGAGGATGTGAAATCTTCTCCTGATGGATAAATTACAGTAGATGTGCACTGCATTTCTTGTGGTTGTGGCATATGAAATTCAAAACATTTTCTTGAACTTCCATACTGGAATTACTGTGACTGCATGGTTTCTTTGAAAGGCTCATATTTCCCTTGTTAAAGCCCACTGTGTTTTGATTTGTGACAGGTCCTTTAAAATGTATGTGAAATCTCAGTTGTCATGGAATGTGATAATCCCTGCTGAGAACCTTGATGTTGAAGGCTTAATGCTTCAGAAGGCAATTGTTATTCGCCTCATGGATGACTTTGCTTCCAAGAAGGCTTCAAAAAATCTTGGTTACTTTATGGCTCTCACTTCATTGGAGAGGATTGGAGAAGGGAAAGTTCGAGACCACACTGGTGATGTGCTTTTCCCTGTGGAATTCAGCTGCCTTACCTTCAAGCTATTCCGTGGAGAGATCTTGGAAGGGGTTGTTGACAAGATCTTGAAGCACGGGGTCTTCTTGAGATGTGGCCCCACCAACAAGGTATACCTCTCTCATCAGAAGATGGCGGATTACAAGTATGTGCCTGGAGAAAATCCTATCTTTATGAATGAGAAGATGTCAAGAATTGAGAAACACACTGTGGTGCGTTTCATCGTGTTTGGAGCAAGGTATGTGGAGGCGGAGAAGGAATTCCAAGCAGTTGTGAGCTTGGAGGGTGATTACCTCGGACCCATCTCACAAACTGTTGTTTAGATTTCGGTTATTCACCGTGATTGGCTCATTTCAGACATAGACCAGTGACATGTAAAAAGCTAACTTCTGTAGCAATATCTATGTTTAGTACTGTTTTGAATTGAATGTGACTTTTTTGTTGATGTTGCTGACCTCTTTAGTGTCTTTGGTTGCTTAAGCCCTCAAGTGGTCATGTAAATGTTTCAAGGCATAGCATGTGTTTGCAGATACATTAACTTGTTAAGGTGATAAACCTTTACTTAAAATACCTTTCCAAATAGTTCTCTTGACTGATATTTCTCTCTAGTTTGTTTAAAAGAAGCAAGTAGTGATACTTTGTACAGTAGTATTTTTGTTTCTGTGTATGCAAGGATACATTCTCATTAAGGATTGATCTTGAGAGAAATGAATGATATGGAAAGGCTCTCTCTTTTCCTACATGAAATATGAGCATAACATGTCATTGAGTAGTATATTAAATTGGTGATGAAGAGGAAGAGGAAAAGTAAAAATGTTTTAGTTTTGGTTATGCACAAAAATAGAGAATAAAAAGATGGAAATTAAGAATAAGAAAAGGGTACAAAAGCTATCAGCAGCTTTTGTTAGCAGTACTCTCCAAAATTATAGTAATTTCTTCTTGAAATATGAAAAATAAAAATAAAGAGCTTCCATCCCTTTAACTTAACATATGCTACACAATTTCCTGCAATAACGTTAGAGAAACAATTACTGATGGTTAAAGCACTGAACTTTAAAACCTTTTTTTTTCTCCAACAGAAATATTAGAAAGTACCTGATGTCATGTTGTTAGCAGGTAGTTCAATAATAGGAAGAAAGCTTTTGTTTGATCTTTTTCAATGTTGTTACAACATCAGTCATGTTCATCCTTTCAACTGGAATACTAATTGTGCAATTAATGGCTAACTCCATAATGAATGACACACATTGCAGCTTTTGACTTAAGTTCTCTTCATCTAGTGTGAGTAAGTCATCATCTATGATTTGATCCAACTCATCAGGAAGTGAATTATGCACCTAGCTTCTCAAATTCAAATCTCCCGCGAACATTTCATCACTGGGTTTCTTCTTGGTAAAAGTTTCCAACAGCATGATACCAAAACTATAAACATCAGACCTCTTGGATATAAGGCCTTCCAGACCATACTCTAGAAAATAAAAAATAAATTATGTCAGCATTTTTAACACATTAAACCATAACACTGTTATACTAGTTAAATAAAGCATTCACCTGGATCAATGTAACTAGTGTGAGCAATAGATTCTTCTTTGGTTAAAAGTTTCGCAATGCCAAAGTCAGTCAGGTGTCCCACCATGTCGTTGTCAAGTAACACGTTGCTAGGCTTCAGATCACAATGAATAACTCCTACTGAGTAACCATGATGGAGATATTCCAGAGCAGATGCAATATCAACCATGATATTCAATCTTTGCATCATACTTGAACAGAAATCTCTAGAATATAGCAACTTGTCTAAGCTCTCATTTGGCATGTACTCAAGTATCAATGCCTTGAAATCCAAGTTACTACAGCTGCTAACGATCTTTGTGAGATTTCTGTGACGAAGATTCCTTAAGAGTTCACATTCTCTATCAAAGGTTTGAAATGTACCTTCCATCTGCACATTGAAAACTTTAACAGCTACAATCATCCCATCTGCCAATGTCCCTTTGTAAACAGAACCAAAACTTCCACTACCTAGCAAGTTAATTTCATCAAAGCCCTGAGTCACTCTTTGAAGTTCATAGTAAGATATTCTTTGTGGTACTACCTCAGGCAATCCCTCGTCTTCTGCAGTGACTGTTATGCCCCGATGTCTCATCAACACGAAAACTATTGCTGAAGTTAGCACTATCACAGAGATAACTGAAAAGGCAACTACAATCCATATCATTCTTCTTTTCTTTGACTCAGAATGATTCTTTGAATTAGAAGGACAAGCTGGGAAATGCTCTTGAGAGTTACCACACAATCCTTCATTCGACATGAAAGATTGGTAAGTGAGATTAACAAATGGCCCTCCACTCGGAATTTCTCCATGTAACCTGTTGAATGAGACATTAAGGGAGCGTAGTTGCTTAAGTTCTTCTAATGACTTTGGAATCACACCAGACATTTTGTTATACGAGAGATCCATCGCTTCCAAATTTATGAGTTCCCCAAATGTGTCAGGAATAGATCCTTCAATTCTGTTATGAGCCAAAGATAGTTGAGTCAATTTCTGTAGATCTCCCAATGTACTTGGAATGTTGCCTGAGATATGGTTTCTCGAAAGATCCAGAAGAGTTGCAGCCTCGAAGTTTCCAACTTCTAGTGGAAGAGAACCATTGAAGAAATTAGATGACAAGTTCAACTTTAAAATGTCTTTGAGGTTCCATAGACTTGAAGGTATGCTAGCAGAGAAGTTATTGGAATCAAGATAAATCTCCCTTAGAGAAGTCACATCCCCTAAGCAACTAGGAATATTTCCCCACATTTGATTTTGTGAAAGGTTTAGCATGCCCAAGTTGGGTAGCTCACATAAAACAATTTGGAAAGGACCACTTATTCTGTTTGCACCAAGTGAAAGCCGTTGAAGGTTTTTCAAAGAATTTATCGTTGTCGGGATAATTCCAGTTAAGTCATTGTCATCCAACTCCAAAGTAGATAACTTTCTCATATTTCCAATTTCATCTGGAATTTGTCCCTTGAGGTTACAGCTTATTGCCGAAAAATAATTAAGAGAAGAAAGATTGCCAACAGATTTTGGAAGCATTGCATTTAGGGGATTGAAAGGCAATAACAATCTTGTCATGTTTTCACAATTGGCCAAAGGAGTAATGAAGCTCAATTCACTTGTGAAGGAGTTACCGTACAAGTTGAGATTTCTAAGTAGTCTTAAATTTCCTAGAGATTCGGGAATTGAACCCGTAAGTTCATTTCCACCTAGTTCGAGAAATTCAAGCTTAGACAAATTTGAGATGGAACTAGGTAAAGCACCATTGATGTTATTTCCAACTAGATAAATTCCTTCGATATTAGGTAAGCCATTGCCTATAGTGGAAGGAATACTACCCGAAATGTGGTTTCCTAAGATTCCCAGAACTACAAGAGATGAGATATTGAGTAATTTGTTGCATCTCAAGATGAACCATTTCAAATTTGGAAGAGTGGCTATTCCTTTTGGTATTTCTCCGGTGAAGTTGTTGTAACTAAGATCAATGTCTCTCAACTTCCGCGAAGCAACTCTGGTGGAAGTTCACCATGGAAATTGTTTTTGCTTAGATCAAGTGAAACAAGAAAAGAGAGGTTGCCAAGTTCCGGTGGGATGGTACCAGTAATATCCATACCTGATATATTCAGTTCAATAACTCTGTGATGACGAGAGCTACAAGTGATTCCAATCCAGTTACAAACTGAGTTAGAAAAAGACCAGTTTGTCAAGAGAATGTGATTAGTATCTGAAGTGATGTGTTCTCTCAAGGCTAGAAGAGAAGATTGATCTGTGCTGATATAGTGATATTCATGGCTAAGCATGTCGTTATAACATGAAAAGATATTAATAAAATTTCTAGAAGCGGAAAGGAGGAGGAGGATGTTTTCTCCATTGATGAGTTTTCTGGTTTGATCATTGCAGCAATATAATGATCTATACCTATTGAAACTGATTAGATTTATAATCGAAAATATAATGCTAGTACATAGTTCTATATTATTGAAACCAACATAATACTTGGAATTGTAAAATGCTTCTAGCAACTATTTAGTCCGTTAATTGTGCAAGTAAATTTATTCAAGATCTGGTAGCTAGCTAATAAATGCTAATACATTAAAATATAAGTTTATGGCCTAAGTAATATATTACTCCACTAAGGAAGTTGACTTTGCACCATATATTGAACTAAATTAATCTGTTACTTAAAGAGAAGGAAACTTTGCTAATGGTGAGATGTTGCTAAACACAGCTATCTAGATTTTGGCATAGAAAATTTGTTTGTGGTTATCAGTATACAGACATACAAAAGAGTGGAATAAGAGTTGACTCTCTAGCTAGGTCGTTAACTTTCCTAGGTTGGATCTTTGCATCAATACCCTAAACTATTTGAATTAATGAATTTATTCCAGGCTTCATGCAGTCATTAATAAATAAACTATTTGAGTTGACTCTGGAAAATTTACAACCCTTTTTCGACTCACTATTTGCCCCACTAGTTGCCCTCTTTGGCACCCAGTTCATACACCCTTGACTGTACAAATCAAGAACTTCAAATTCAACTCCCTTTCTGCCTAAGATATTTTCTTGTTTACCCTTCATTTATCTGTGGCTGTATGAAAGTTCTCCTTCATGCATGTTCAATGCCATAACAAGGTAAAACCTTGACTAGTTGACTATATATATATGGATAGATCAGTAACAGAAAGGAACTCCGATGTCAAAGTAACTAGTGAAAACTATCAAGGAATATGCATATCTTGCTGCTCTATTCTTTGGAGAAATTTTTTTAAGTCAGTTGAATACTTGGGAGAACTTGAGATATATACAATGGATTCAACATAGTTTATTTAAATGGCTTACATTCCTTGTATCATCAAATTGGAAGGGTGCTTAGAACATCAGGTTATGGAAAGGCCCTCTTGGTTTACACAAGAAAAAGGAAGAAGTACACAAGCTATCATCGGCTTTTTATAATAGTACGTAGTCCCAAAATCATAGCAACTTCTTGACGTAAGAAGTATATGAACTTCAATCCTTTTAACTTCCAATAGCCACATAATCTCCTGCAATAACAAGGAACACTTACTGATGGTCAAATGCTACTGAACTTATAACCTCGTTCTTTTCAGAAGGGATATGAAAAGCACCTGATGTCATGTTGTTAGGTAGTTCAATAACAGTAAGAAAGCTTTTGTTTGATCTTGTTCAATGTTTCTACAACATCAGTCATGTTCATCCTTTCAACTGGAATACTAGTTGTGCAATTCATGGCTAACTCCATAATGGATGACACACATTGCAGCTTTTGACTTAAGTTTTGTTCATTGACTGTTAGTAAGTCAGCATCTATGATTTGATCCAACTCATCAGGAAGTGAATTATGCACCCAGCATCTCAAATTCAAATCTCCTGCGAACTTTTCATCACTGGGTTTCTTCTTGGTAAAAGTTTCCAACAGCATGATGCCAAAACTATAAACGTCAGACCTCTTGGATATAAGGCCTTCCAGACCATACTCTAAAAAGAAAAAAGGAAATAAGTCAGCATTTTTAATGCATTAAACCATAACATTGTTACTAGTTAAATAAAGAATTCACCTGGAGCAATCCAAGTTAAAACAGCTGCTAATGATCTTTGTGAGATTTCTGTGACGAAGATTCCGCAAGATTTCACACTCTCTATCAAAGGTTTGAAATGTTCCTTCCATCTGCACATTGAAAACTTTAACAGCTATAATCATCCCATCAGCCAACATCCCTTTATAAACAGAACCAAAACTTCCACTACCAAGCAAGTTATTTTCATTAAAACTCTGAGTTGCTCTTTGAAGTTCATAGTAAGAAAATCTTTGTGGTGCTACCTCAGGAGACCACTCAACTTCAACATTGATCGTTTTACCCCCGCGTCTCATCAACATGAAAACTATTGCTGAAGCAAGCCCTATTACAGAGATAACTGAAGAGGCAACTATAATCCATATCAGATTTCTTTTCTTCGACTTAGACTAATTCTTTGAATAAGAAGGACAAGCTGGGACATGCTTTTGAGGGTTACCACACAATCCTTTATTCGACATGAAAGACTGGTAAGGGAGATTAAGAAAAGGTCCCCCACTCGGAATTTCCCCATCTAACCTATTGAATGAGACATTAAAGGAGTTTAGCTGCTTAAGTGCCTCTAATAACTTTGGAATCACACCAGACATTTTGTTATATGAAAGATCTAATGTTTCCAAACTTAGGAGTTCCCCAAATGTCTCAGGAATAGATCCTTCAATTCCGTTATGAGCCAAAGATAGTTGAATCAATTTCTGTAGACCTCCCAATGTACTTGGAAGGTTGCCTGATATTTGGTTCCTGGAAAGATCCAGAAGTAGTGCAGCTTTGAGGTTTCAAACTTCTAGTGGTAGAGATCCAATGAAGGAATTAGAAGACAAGTTCATCTTCAAAATGTCTTTGAGGTTCCATAGACTTGAAGGTATGCTAGCAGTGAGGTTATTGGAATCAAGATAAACCTCCCTTAGGGATGTCATGTTCCCCAAGCAACTAGGAATATCTCCCCAAATTTTATTTTGTGAAAGGCTTAGTATCCCCAAGTGGGGTAGCTCACATAAAACAATTGGGAAAGGACCAGTTATTCTGTTTGCATCAAGAAAAAGCCGTTGCAGGTTTTTCAAAGAACTTAATGTCGTCGGGGCAATTCCAGTAAGGTTATTACCTCCCAGAGACAAAGTAGATAAATTTCTCATATTTCTGATCTCACTTGGAACATTGCCTTTGAGGTTACAGCCTACAGCAATAAATGATTGAAGAGAAGAGATGTTGCCAATGGATCTCGGGAGCATTGAATTTAGAGGATTGAAAGACAATATCAATATTCTCAAGTGTTTACAATTGGCCAAAGGAGTAATGAAGCTCAATTCACTTGTAAAGGAGTTACCGTACAAGTTGAGAAGTTCAAGTTGTCTTAAATTTCCGAGAGAGTCAGGAATTGAACCAGTAAATTCATTACTAAAGAGTTCGAGAAAGGTGAGCTTAGACAAATTTGAGATGGATCCAGGTAAAACACCATTAATGTTGTTTCCACCTAGAAATATTTTTTCAACATTAGGTAACCCATTGCCTATAGTGGATGGAAGATTACCTGAAATGTGGTTTTCTGTGAGTCCAATAGTTACAAGAGATGAGATATTAAAGATACCAATAGGGATCGACCCACTAAATTCATTGTAAAACAATGGAAGGTCTGTCAACTCTTGAAGGTTACCAACTTCATGTGGAATTACACCTGAAAAATTCAGTATAATTATGATCAGAAGACGTATCCCAAAAAACAAAAAATTCTAACATGACTTGAATTAGATTTTTTCCCCGTACCTGCCAGGTAATTATTGGAAAGATCAAACCAGGCAAGCATAGTAAAATTTCCAACCTGTCTTGGTAAAGGTCCTTCAAGCTTGTTATCATTCATATATAGCATTTCAAGTGATGAAATGTTGAATAAGGTTAAAGGGATTGAGCCTGTTAAATAATTTTTATCCATGAATATGTTCTTTAAGTTATAAAGATGGCCGATCTCATCAGGAATTGTGCCTGTCATATTGTTAAACAGAAATATCACATAAAAATCATATATTTAACAAGAGCTTAACTTCCAAATGGGTATGCCGGAAGATTGGTCAAACCGGCTACAAGTATACAAAGCGAGAGGAGAAGTGACGGAGCAATTAGTGAAAACAAACAAATCTTCTTATGCTACTATTAAAAAAATACTCACATTTTTTTAAAGATTGTCCAAACACTTCAACTCTCTAAAATACATTTTCTTTTAAATAAGTTAAATCTAATGTCCCGAGAAAAATGGTAAAGCCATACCTTTTACGTGTTATCTGCAAGATCTAAATGTTGCAGCTGATGCAAGTTACCTATATCTCTTGGAATTGTTCCAACAAAGTTATTTTGAAACAACATTAGGAGTTGAAGCTCTGAGCATTCAGATATGTTTCTTGGTACCTCTCCGCTTAACATGTTGTTGCCAAGTGCAAGCTTTTGCAATCTAGGAAGACGATGACATAAATCAGAAGGGAAATCACCAGTTAAACCAGAATTTCTGAGATCCAAATATTCAAGGGTTGAGATGTTGAATTTAGAGAGCACATTGGAGCCATTGAGTAATTTATTGTATCCCATGGAAAACCGTATCAAACTCGGAAGAGGGGCTATTCCAATTGAAATTTCTCCGGTGAAGTTGATGTAACTAAGTTTAATGACTCTCAATCTCCGTAAATGAGAAAATTCTGATGGAAGTTCACCACAGAAATCATTTTTGCTTAGATCAAGTGAAACAAGAAAGGAGAGGTTGCCAAGTTGTGGCGGGATAGTACCCGATAAACCCATGTTTGAAATATTCAGTGCAATCACTCGTTGATGGCGAGAGCTACAAGTGATTTCAATCCAATCACAAACAGAGGTAGAAGAAGACCAGTTCGTCGAAAGAACATGAAAAGGATCTGAAGTGATGTGGGATTTCAAGGCAAGAAGAGAAGATTGATCAGTGCTAATATTCATGGCCAAGCTGCAAGTTGCTAAAAGGTGAAGAGATGTTAATAAAAATGCGAGAAGCTGAAAAGGCGAGGCTTTCTCCATTGTTAATAGAATGTGAAAGGACATGTGTTTGCTGGTTGTAACTTGGAACTGATTAGATTTACAGTAAAGGAGAAGACAATGTAGTTGTTTTAAACTGCACCAGTTGTTATTAACTTAATTAATTGTGCAAGTCATCTTGCTAGAATTTTTTTGCAAAAAAAAAGAGTTGAAAAAATGAATCAAGATCTGGTAGATAATAAATGCTAACACATGAAAAAGCATCATCATCCAATAAACTTATTGTAGCTGTTTTGCCAATCAACATGTGCTTGCTTTTGTTTATGAACTTCATTAATACTTCAATCAGTTAGAGTAATAAGTTGTTAACTAAGTAACTAAAATGACTTTGAACATGTAATTACTTAAACCAAATCTCCACTACTAATGAGATGTTAAAGTGGTGAAATTGAGATGCAAAAATCTCTATAAGGTCTTTTTGTGTTCTATCCTTCTTACTTTTGATGTTGCTGACTAATTCTTTTTCGCTGGCCGTAGTAATAAAACATGTAAATGAAGTGACTTTTGATCAAGAAATTATCTTTGCTTCCTCTTGGGAAGATTTTGTAGACTTGAAGATATTGGGGACTACGTTTATCCGCTTAAATGGCTTTCTTCCTGCATTGATTGTAAGCCTCTAATTGATATAGCCATCAAGTTTATGAGATCATTTGATAACTCTTTTTTTATATTAATACATGTCTTCAAGTTCCCTTGCTGGTACGCTAGAGCTAGTAAGTTAGAGGGTCACCAAAAGGTTAATTAGATCTTTTGAGAAACCAGATTTCATTATGTTTTGGTTAGCTAATAAGAGACTAAAAGGTCCAATCCCGATATCATTTGGTTATCTTGATCGATAAGCTTGCTGTTTCTGGACCTCTCTCTTGAAGAAGAATCTTTTGGTGAGATTCAGTTAGCTGGAAGATCTAGGATTTGAACTTTATGATTTCCAAATTTACTTGTCCTGTGAATTATCGATGAATCAATCTATTACTCAATCAATGACACTCTATAAATGGCACCAGGTAATTGCGATCTCAACATTTTTCCAAAATATTTCTACAGCACCATTTTTACAAAATTATGTTTTTTTTAAAAAAAAATTCTGAACAGAGTGTAGTGCTGAATGATTCATTTCTTCTATGATGTCGTGCTGATTGAAACACGTATTTTCTATTGGAATGTATGCGTCCACCGATTTTGATGGGACCAAGTCCTCAGCACAATTACAATAACAAACAGTAAAATAAATGCTGAAAGTAAAGATTGCACAAACAACTTTACGTGGAAACCTCCTTGCTCAAGGGAGTAAAACCACGACCTGCTCTCAATAGGACTTTTCAAACTGCTTCCACTAATCTTCTCCAAGCAAAAGTAAAAGCCAGTTTACAAAATGAAGATTAGCCTGCTAATCTCCACACTAAGCAATATCTCCTATCATTTAGCTGAGCCAGAGCAAATACAACACTGCCCACTATACTAATCCTAACTGATTAATATAGACTTTAGAGTAAGAAACTAAGTTACCCTTAACCTAGTTCTTACAATGATTTACACAAGTTTGAAACGTTTCTTTCACAAGTGAAACGAATCATACATATAAGAACTATTACAAGCAAACAAAGTAACAACTGATACAGGAAGCACTTTAAGCAATCGATCAGGTCCCTGCTGTTTTTGAAGCTTGAAAAATCTCTTTTTGAATGAATAATGAATTTGTTGTTTGAGTGTTGAATATATCAACCATGAAAAGCCATTGTCCAATGTACAAACAACTACGCCCATTCTGATTGGTGAAGTACTCTGCAACTTCACCAACTTTCTGACACGAACAACTTTTACAGCTGTTCAACACTTTCACCACTGGACGAGTATTCATACTCTGCAGAGGACCAGGTCCCTGCACTTGTGAGGAGATCATCAAAACATCTAGGAGTGTTAGCACTTATCATTTTCACTGGATACAAGATTAAAGCAAGGGCAAATGACTCTTTTGGATGATATTTATAAGGCCAGATGGGGATCACTTCACTTAAAATTAAGAAGCACTGCATTTTATTGATCCTTAATTAGCAATACATTGTACAGAAGACTCATCTCAACAAAGGACAGTTACAATAGCCACATAGTCTCTTGCAAAAGCATTTGAAGAGCAATTACTGATTAAAATGCTAATGAAATTTACATATTTCCTTTTTACTTCCCAAAAGTGATATGGAAAAAGTACCTGATGTCATGTCATTAAGCCATTCGATCAGTAACATGAAGAAAGCTGCTGCTTGATCTTTTCCAATGCAGCTACAACATCAGTCATGTTCATCCTTTCAGCCGGAGATTTAGCTGTGCAATTCATGGCTAACTCCATGATAGATGACACATACTGTAACTTTTCATTTAGCTTTTGTTCATCTACTGTTAGTAAGTCGGCATCTATGATTTCATCCAGCTTATCAGGAAGTGAACTATGTACCCAGCTTTTCAAATCCAAATCGCCCGTAAACATTTCATCATTAGGTTTCTTCTTTGTAAAAGTTTCCAGCAACATGATACCATAACTATAAACATCAGACCTCTTGGATATAAGGCCTTCCAATCCATATTCTAGAAAAGAAAAATTAAAATACGTCAGCAACTGAACTTAAAAGGCGTAAATCTGATTAACTGTTAATCAAAAACTTTGTTACAAGTTAAATAAATGATTCACCTGGAGCAATGTAACCAATTGTGGCAAAGGTTGTAGTTTGAGCAATAGATTCCTCTTTTGTTAGAAGTTTTGCAATGCCAAAGTCAGTTAGGTGTCCCACCATGTCTTTGTCAAGTAAGACATTGCTAGGCTTCAGATCACAATGAATAACAGGTACAGAGTAACCATGATGGAGATATTCCAGAGCAGATGCAACATCGACCATGATATTCAATCGCTGCATTATATTTAGAGAATAATCTTGAGAATATAGCAACTTGTCTAAGCTCCCATTTGGCATGTACTCAAGTACCAATGCTTTAAAATCCAAGTTACAGCAGCTGCTAATGATCTTTGTGAGATTTCTGTGACGAAGATTCCTCAAGATTTCACATTCTCTATCAAAGGTTTGAAATGTACCTTCCATCTGCACATTAAAAACTTTGACAGCTAGTATCATCCCATCTGCCAATGTCCCTTTAAAAACAGAACCAAAACTTCCACTACCTAGCAAGTTATTTCCATCAAACCCCTGAGTTGCTCTTTGAAGTTCATAATAAGAAAATCTCTGTGGTGTTACCTCAGGCGACCACTCATCTTCACCTTTGATTACTTTACCCCGATGTCGCATCAACACGAAAATTATTGCTGAAGCAAGCCCTATTATAGAGATAACTGAAGAGACAACTACAATCCATATCATTCTTCTTTTCTTTGAATTAGAATGATTCTTTGAATTTGAATGACAAGCTGGGACATGCTTTTGAGGATTACCACACAATCCTTCATTCGACAAGAAAGACTGGTAAGGGAGATTAAGAAAAGGTCCACCACTCGGAATTTCCCCGTGTAACCTGTTGAATGAGACATTAAAGGACTGTAGTTGCTTGAGTGCCTCTAATGACTTTGGAATTACACCGGAAATATTGTTATTTGAAAGATCCAATGCTTCCAAACTTATGAGTTCCCCAAATGTCTCAGGAATAGATCCTTCAATTCTGTTATGAGCCAAAGATAGCTGGATCAATTTCTGTAAACCTCCCAATGTACCAGGAATGTTGCCTGAGATTTGGTTCCTGGAAAGATCCAGAAGTATTGTAGCCTTGAGATTTCCAACTTCTAATGGTAGAGAGCCATTGAAGAAATTAGAAGACAAGTTCAGCTTCAAAATGTCTTTGAGGTTCCATAGACTTGATGGTATGCTAGCAGTAAAGTTATTGGAATCAAGATAAATCTCCCTTAGAGAAGTCACATCTCCTAAGCAACTAGGAATACTTCCCCACATTTGGTTTTGTGAAAGGTTTAGCATGCCCAAGTTGGGTAGCTCACATAAAACAATTGGGAAAGGACCACTTATTCTGTTTGCACTAAGTGAAAACTGTTGAAGTTTTTCCAAAGAACTTATTGTCGAAGGGACAATTCCAGTAAAGTCATTTTCATCCAGCTTCAAATAAGATAAATTTCTCAAATTTCCAATTTCATTTGGAATATGGCCTTTGAGATTACAACCTATTGCCTCAAACGTTTGAAGAGAAGAAAGATTCCCTATGGATTTTGGAAGTATTGCATTTAGAGGATTGATAGACAATATCAGTTCTCTTAAGTATTTACAATTGGCCAAAGGAGTAATAAAACTCAACATTGAAGAGTCACTAGTGAAGGAGTTACCTTGCAAGTTGAGGATTTCAATAAGTCTTAAGTTTCCTAGAAAGTCAGGAATTGAACCCGTGAGTTCATTCGCACTGAGTTCGAGAACAGTAAGCTTAGACAAATTTGAGATGGAACTAGGTAAAAGACCATCAATGTTATTTGCACCTAGAAAAATTCGTTCAAGATTGGGTGACCCGCTGCCTATAGTGTTAGGAAGATTACCTGAAATGCGGTTTTGCGTGAGTGTAATAGATACAAGAGTTGAGATATTAAATATACCAATAGGGATCGACCCACTAAAATTATTGAAATCCAACTTCAGCATCAGCAACTCTTGAAGGTTACCGATTTCATCTGGAAGTACGCCTGCAGAATGAAGTAAGATTACCATTAGAAGAAGTATTGAAAGAACTAGCATTCTGAAATCCTGTGGTAAAATATTATTCCATACCCGTCAAGCTATTCATTCCAAGATCAAGTACGTTAACCATAGTCAAATTTCCAACCTCTCTTGGTAGAGGCCCTTCAAGCTTGTTGTCCCACATTGATAAAACTTGAAGTGATGAAATATTGAATATGCTTAATGGGATTGAGCCTGTTAATGCATTTTGTTCCAATCCCAATTGCTTCAAGTTATGAAGATGACCAATTTCATTGGGAATTGTGCCTG